TATATATATATATATATATATATGTGTGTGTGTGTGTGTGTGTGTGTCAGGCGTGTGTGAAAGAAAAGGAAAAGTCCTATTTGAACATCACGACTTTTTTATATTGAAATACAAATCTTGATTGGTTACCATTTACTTTTTATATAAGAAAAAATCATTTTAAATCGTAACAAATACACCCTTAGTTTAAGGGCAAAAAGGGAGGAAAAAAACAAAAGTGAAATGAGCTTAATTTCTTACCAATGGCGACCTTCATAAATACATCATCTCGGTGCTTTGGTTGGCATCCTCCGCCTTCTTTTGTTCCATCTCCGATTTGTCCTTCAAGACAGAAACATCGGAAAGACCCAGGGATTTCTCTACAATTTTGTTCACTTATACAATTGTGTTCTCTGGTCGAACATTCCAAAATATCTACAAATGCATCATACATATAATCAAAGTTTAAATAATTAATAGGAGAGATATTCATGTATTGAAACAATTTTATTCCTATGTAATATGTACTCTTATTTTCATTCTTTTAGACTAGTGGAGGAGAGGTACTATCTATTTTTATTATTTTAAAAATATATATATTATTGATTAGTCAAAGGTTTACTGAAAGTAACAAAAAAATATAAATTAAATAAAAAATTGTGGAAGAGAAATAGTGAGAGAGAGTAGTTTGACAATTATTATAAGAATAAAATTATTCAATAAATTATATACACCAAATTAAAATATTGTTTTTATATATGTTATAGATTATACGAGAGAGATAAATGTAGGGAGGGAAAGACAAATTCACTTATTTATTATTTTTTATATATAGAAAATTGACATAAAACTATATACGGGAAATGTACGTAAAGTTTTAAATTTTGAAACAAAACTATATTATGAAAAATTCTAAATACACGGTAAGTATTAAATATATACTTACTCCGAGTTTTTATTTTTTTTTAACACTTTATTTCTTTGTTTTACTTTACTAAATTTGTGAACAAGTGAGAGGTCCCTAATTTAAATTTTGTGCAAAAAAGAATAATTAAGTTCAAACTTTACAATCGGTGTGTCTAGAAATTATGAGGCTAAACAAAGTTTTATAATCAACTTTTAATTTAATTTACTTTTAAAATTTTTTAGTTAAATATGTGACTTTATTATTAACATTTTTCACCAATAAAATATTTTTGTATAATAATCATAAATTTATTCACTAACTTTATACTCTACTAATTAATTTCAGTAGTTTAAATTTAAGGTGAAGAGAGGTATAATTCAAAATATATAGATGTAAAATATTCTTTTTAACTTTTTTAAAAAATATAGTAGTAAATAACATATTGTGATTAAATCATAAAATTTAAAATAATAATATAATTTATTAAAAATATATATAAATATTTTAGTGCTTAAACAATTTGAAAGTCTAAAACAAAGATATCATTGACCTCTTGACATACATGAATCTCTAATTATCTCCAAAATATGGATATAACAAAAGAAGATGGAAAAAAGATTAAAAAAAATGTTTTTTTTCCCTTTTTTTTCCCGATATTTGTGACGTTCGCTATCTTTTGCTAAAAGCAGAGCAAAGGATTATTAGATAATAAGATAAATAGTAAAAATAACTAATCATAAAAACAGCAAAAAAATAAAAACAGTGGTATTTTTCTTAGTTAATCCAAAACAGCATTACGATTGCAAGTCAGTAAAATTGTGAGGATTAGGACTTGAGTTAGTCGAGTCAATTTATTTTAAAAGATTATTATAATTATTATTTATAAAACATAAATATCATATAAAAAATATCAACAAAAAAAATTATTCAACAATTTTAAAATTAAAAATAATGAGTTTAAATATTGAAAATCTCATATCTATTATAGAAATAAAAATATAATAATACATAAATGTAAAAAATAATTCTCATTTTATAAATTTGTTTTATAAGGATGAGTTAATCTTTAAATCAAATTTCTTGAAGAAATGTTAAATTACATGTAACCTCCACTGTTGAATTATATAAAGAAAATTGGTAAATTAATTTTTGGGTAAATAAATTAAATTACCTGTGCAGCCAAGATATGGGTTTCCTTCATATCCATGATCACATGTGCATCGGTAACCAAAGTCAGTGTCTGTGTCGTTGCAATGGCTATTCTCCTTGCACGCGTACTCTCCTCTGTTGCTCTCAAAACTAGTACAATTATTTTCTCCTAGGCTCCAATCAAGAACCAAAGGAAGCGTCTTGTTTGGAAAACTGGTTAAATGAGAGGTAGAAAAACTATAGGAGCCTTGTTTGACAACAAAGGAATAGGTGCAGCCCTGGTAATTTGTTGAATCGGGGAAGTTCAATGCTTCTATACTGATATTCCTCATACGAGGAGGAATTTCGACCTGGCAACACCCTATTCCCGAACATGTTCCATAATCAATCCCCACATCGTTGTCATAAAATCTCGTTAAGCACCCTGTTGAATAAGTTTCATCGTTGAAAACGCTATTCAGATAGCCATAACTGTCGTTGCCGACAGTCAGGAACTTGTTTTCTGTCCTTGAAATGCTGAAAGTAGCAGCTGTTGTCATCGAGGGATTGTTTTTGTCTGAATCATCGCAAAAGCGTGCTACCCAAAATGATACGTCCATATGATGAGCTTGGACGCTTATGTTTAGAACAGGGATGTTTTTACCCCATATTAAGTTGGAGTTGTCGCAATACATTCTTAATTCTCAGGATCCAGCCTTAGTGCAAGATCAGCTCCTCCTCCGAGATGCTACTTTAGCTAAGTTGAAGAGTAATTTACAAAGAGCTCAGCAGGTAATGAAGAAATATGCAGATGCTAAGAGACTTCCTCACGTGTCTACGCCCTACCATCCCCAGTCTGATGGTCAATCAAAAGCTGTCAATAAATGCCTTGAAATGTACCTTAGATGCTTCACATTTGATAGTCCTAAGGAGTGGTATAAGTTACTGCCATGGGCAGAATACTGGTACAACACTGCCTATCATACTAGTATTGGTATGACTCCTTTCCGGGTGGTGTATGGTAGAGAACCTCCTCAACTATTGCGCTACATTCTTAATTCTCAGGATCCAGCCTTAGTGCAAGATCAGCTCCTCCTCCGAGATGCTACTTTAGCTAAGTTGAAGAGTAATTTACAAAGAGCTCAGCAGGTAATGAAGAAATATGCAGATGCTAAGAGAACTTGGAATTCCAGATCATTTTGCAGTTGTTATAACTGTTGTCTTCTTTGGAAGGAATTGGAATGTGGAGGCTATTTGATGAATCTATTATAATTTTATTTGTTATTGTAAATTTATTCCCACTATCAATGTAAATATTGTAATAGAAGTGAAAGAAAGAAATATTGTATAACAATAATATTAATGTAACGCCCTAAAACAATAATTATATATTTTCTTATATAATATTTTCGCAATTATATCATTAACAATATTTTTTTTTGAAGATAAAGATAAAGATAAAGAAAAAGAATATTTTGTGAATTTAATACATGATATATCGTTCTAAAATATTTACAATAATGTATTATTTTATACAATATTTCTTTCTTTCTTTTCTTTCTTGCATAAGAACACATCCTAAAACTGGTGCAGTAGTTAATCTTTTCTTAAGCTCTTGAAAACTATTCTCACATTTTTTTGTCCACTCAAAGGGTTGTCCTTTCTTGGTGAGTTGAGTTAAAGGCATAGCTATTTTAGAAAATCCCTCAATGAATCTCCTATAATATCCTGCTAAACCCAAAAAACTATGGATTTCTGTTACCGTCTTTGGAGGTTCCCATAATAGAACTGCTTCAACTTTAGACGGATCCACAGACACTCCGTTTTTGGAGATCACATGACCTAAAAACTTAACCTCCTCTAACCAAAATTCACATTTAGAAAGTTTGGCAATTAAAAATAAATTATAATTAAAATATTAAATATCTATATTTATTGAAAAAATTAAATTATTAAACTAATTCAAAATATTAAATTACCAATATTTATTAAATAACATTGAAATATTTAAATTATAAAATATATTAATTTCTAAATTTAAAATTTTAATTATAACTAAAATAATTTTTAAAATATTTACACTAAAAAATAAAATAGAAAAAAAGATCCAATAAAAAATCAGTTTGAGAACCACAGATTTCTCAAAAGAAATTTTGAATGTTTTGATCAAAATTTAAAAAAAAAAATCATTTATTAATTTACTGACTTCTTACCAGTAAAACAGTATAACAGTAAAACAGTATAAATTATAAAATGTAATGTGAATAATTTAGGGAAATATTAAAACAAAACAGTATATTAAAAAAAGTCATTTTTATAAAATGAATTTTAAAAATTAAAAATAAAATTTTAAATTTCATGAGCGACCCCACACGATCACATGGGCTCTGACTATGCAGATGCAAACAATCTCATTAATTACGAATGTACATTGCGAATTCAATATCAACCGTTCATTCGAAAATCCAAAAACGGCACTTTTGTTCCGTAATTAGCTCGCACCCACCGACCGACACATTTTAAACACAAAAGCTTCTTAAAACTGACTATCATAAACTGACCGGTGGGACTTTGGAGGATACCCACACACTTTGGGCACAACACAAGTGAGATTGAAGTCGTCTTCCAAGAAACAAGGTTGTTGATCATGTGTGGATGAGTAGCCTATACCGAATGGATAGGGAACTTTGATATCTCCACAAGTGGAAGTGCAACCAGCTAGGAGGGTTTCATCAGGTGCAGCAGCTACTACTACTACTACCAGGGCTAAACCCAACATACCCAGTTGCAAGTTTTCCATTACCTTGAGTAACAAGTTAGAAAACAGGCTTTTGGAGATGATTGAGTACTTTTGCTTGCGCTGCACTGTGGTCTGAGAGATGAGAGTTCCATTTATTTATAAACTTCAAAATTTGATTTTTTTTCCTCACGGCGTTGGCTGATTATTAGTTATTAATTAGTAAAATTAATGAAGAATTTTCTGAGCCAAAAATACAGAAAGAAAGTTCAAAGATTATAACATAGTAGACATTGCATGACGCAATTGAGAGGCATTGAAAGGAGGAAGAAAGTGATCGAGAGAAAGAAAGAATACGATGACAGTACAGATTCTCGTATGCATGCCATGTTTATTGTTTAATTCCTCTTTTCGTCGTTATACTTTTATAAATTTTACCTTATAATATTTATATTTAAATACATTTCATTTTAATTTTTATATATACCATTTTTTTCTCTTTTAAATTCCGTCATCTATTTTTGTAGAGAATAACACGGAAAATTCATACGACTATAAAGACTAAAAGCAAAGGTTTATACAATCATAACCAATATAGAAAATTGATGATTTGGGAACCTAGGAAGAACTTGAGTTCTCCTCATTTCGAATTTATTCTTCATCAGCTTAGAAAAATTCTCACGCAAAGCTTCATTAATAACACCAATGATAATATTATCAACATGAATTTGTACTATAATAAAATTTGAACCAATTTAAATGGAGTTGTGTCAATTTTAACTCTCACAAAATTATTGTTTCAAAAAAAACTATTTAGTTTTTCGTACCAAGCTCCATAAGGACTTGTTTGAGACTATAAAGAGCCTTTTACAATTTCAAAACATGTTCTTTAAAATTTGGGTTTTCAAAATCAGAAGGTTGTTTAACATAAACTTCTTCTTCAATTATTCCATTAAAAAAATTCTCTTTATGTACATTTGAAACAATTTAATATCTTTGTGAGCTATAAAAGCTAATATAATTTTGATAGCTTCCAATAGGTGCAAAGGTCTTCGTGAAATCTATATCTTCCTATTAATATTGTAGCCTTGTGTTACCAATCTATCTTTATTTCTTACAACTTTACCTTATTCATCTAGCTTATTTTTGAATAACCATCTTATTCCAATGATGCTTTGATGATCTAGCTTTGGAACTAGAGTTTAGACATCATTTCTTTCAAACTAATAGAGTCATTCTTCCATTGCTAGAATCCATTCGTTATCACCAAGATCTTCATCTATGTTTTTTGGTTCAATGTCTAATACTAAAGCATAGGAAACATTGTCTTTGAGAGAATACCTTGTTTTTGACACCTTTAGTCCTATCTTTAAGAATTTGATCCTATGGATGATAGCTGAAAAACTTCCAATCTTTGTGAGTCTTGGAATTAGCTTCATTTGACTAATTCATCTCCTTTTTAGATTCAGCTATCTCTAACTAGTATGTTTGCCTCATTCATCTTTTCAGAGTTTACTTGTAAATCTTTAAATTCCTTTTTTAGATATGATAATTTTCTATCAATTGTCTGAGCATCATTAAATGTCACATGAATAAATTTTTCTACTATAAAGTTGTAGAGTTGAATACTCTATATGCCTTTGAGGTATCTTCAAAGAAAGATGTTGTTAAGTCAAAAAATGATCTTAGATCCCTCATTTTTCGTAAGTTTTAATGATAACAAACTCTACGTCTTTCGACAAAAAATAATTTTTGAAAATTCACTATTTTAGACTATGTAAGATGAAGTAGCGTTTGTAAGACGAAGCAAATCAAATGAAGCATACAATTGTTTGTTATGTTCTTAATGTTTATTATTTATTGTGATTGACACGTTTGAATTTTCAAATGAATGCTTTATACCTTAATAGATTGAAAGCCATTGTCATGGAACCCACATTCTATTAAAGGTGTACAAAGGTATGTAGAGTATTAGAACAAAAGACAAAGATCCTGAATCTTACGAAAAAGACACAAGAAAAACTCTACATCCTTGTTGCACACTGACATTACTTCCAATTGTTCTCTCTTTTCTACTTTGCTCTAATGCGTAGCTTGATCTATCAAAGATAAGGAGTACGTTTTGGTGAACGACACCAATATTGGATACTTCCTCTCTCTCAAGAAGTTGCAACAATCATCTCTTTGGAAGCTACTATATACGAAGCTCTAAAACTCAAGAGACACACATGGAACACGTACAACATAAGAGAGAACCACATACATAGAAAATATTCTTCAAAAGATCTCTTGCACTTAAACTTTTGTTATTATCATGTCTAAATTAAGGAGACAACAATAGCAACCTTGTAATACCTTTATAACCATTGTTATAAGGTAGAGCCCATAGAGGCTTATCTATAAAAAAATACTTGGGGTTGAGCTTGGAGAGACTTATTTGTAAAAAAGAAGACTTTGGTAGTGGCTTGAAGAGGCCAATCAAAGAACACTTGTGTTTGAGGCAGAAGTGGCTTGGTGAAAAAAAAACTTATAATTTTGTTAAAATTTAGTTGAACTCATTTTAGTTTGATTGAAAATTGGATGTAGCCTTGATGGTTAAGGTGAACTAATATAAAAACTTCTTGTGTTCATTGATTATTCTTGCTAACACTTCGTCTGTCATAGATACTACTTCACTGACTTAAAAACATGCAAGTTTTTTATATATACTATTCAAACTCCTTCTAGTGTCTATCTTTTCTCTATAGATGCCTTTATCCACTTTGGAGTCAAAATTTTAAAGTTGATCCTTAGGGTTTAAGACATAACACTCACATCCAAAGG